TTTATATATATATATATATATATATATATATACACATATATATATATATATACAGATATATATATATACAGATATATATATATATATATATATATATATATATATAGATTTTGGTTCTGGTGAGAATGCAATCTTAGGAGAGAAATGAGAATGAATCTGGTGCTTTAGATTGTGAGATCTAAGGGCCGAGATTTCATCAAAATTAGATGCATTAAAATGGTGCGAAAATGCATCACGTCGAAATGCACCATAAACCTTCGAAAATGCATTATCTCAAAATCTGAGCGCAGGATGCAATCTGAGCCGCACGATGCATCAGATCCGACGGCTAGATTTTATTCTCATTTCTCTCCACAAGGTGCATTCTCACAGGAACCGGCCCCTATATATCTATATATATATATATATATATATATATATATATATATATATATATATATATATATATATATATATATATATATATATATATATATATATATATATATATATATAGGGATTGACTCCAGTGAGATGACACCTTACGGTGCGATGACATGTTTCGGTCAGATGACGCAAAGCTCACCACACTACACTACAAAGCTCACCAATGGACAATACAAAGCTCACCTAGAAATAAAGCAAAGCTCACCACTTTGAACAAAAAAAATCACCTTTTTTTTAATTTTTAAAATTAAAAAATTAATTAAAAATAAAATAGCAACACCGATCAACCACCGGTCAACGGCGGCGGCAGGCGGCGGAGCAGTGGCGGTGACCGGAGGCGGCCGGCGACCGACGGACGGCGGCGGCGGCGGCAAGAGTATGGCGGCAGAGGCGACCGACGGCGGCGACGGCTAGGGGTGGGCACGGATCGGGACGGTCCGGTTTTAGGTTGTCCCACGTCTTATCCCGTTATATATAAACGGTCCGGAACGGTTCGGATTACAATCTTATCCCGGTTTGTCCCATAAAATTTGGGATCGGAATAAAACGGGACGGATTCGGGTTGTCCTACTTTGTCCTAATCGCAAATATAAGAAGGGGAAGAAGGTGAAATTTCATTCAAAAAAAAAACATCTAGCCATCCAACAAAAAACAATGAGTGGAACGGGTCCAAATAAATTTCAGGCTCATGAAATTAATTTAATTAAATAACTAGTTAATTAAAGAATGAGTGTATTTGGATTTTGGACTAGAATTAGTATTATATATTAGTAGAGTCGATGAAACGGGACAAACGGGACGGATCGGTATACATTTAAGTTGTCCCGCTCATGTCCCATTTGATATTGGGACGGAACGGGTTCGGGACCAAAAAAATGTGTCCCAATATATCGGTACAATTACAAAACAGATCAAGGATTTTTTGGAACGGTCCAACGGGAACGGATTTCACGCCCACCCCTAGCGACGGCGACCGGCGGCGGCGGCCGGCGACTGGCAGCTGCGGCGGACGACGACTGGCGACTAGCGGCGGCGGACTGGTAGCGGCAGGCGGCGGTCAAAGCTGGAGTCAACGGTCAAAGTCTAGTCAGCACCCCTTCCTTTGATTTTATTTTTTCAAAAAAAAATTCAAAGTGTTGAAAAAAATATGGTGAGCTTTGCCTTACAGTTTGGTGAGTTTTGTAGTTGTGCTTGGTGAGCTTTGCAGTGGGCAGTGGTGAGCTTTGCGTCATCGGACCGAAACATGTCATCGCACCGTAAAGTGTCATCTCACTAGAGTCAATCCCATATATATATATATATATATATATATATATATATATATATATATATATATATATGATAGAATATAGGATATAGGATACCTTAAAGGAGGCGTGGGGTAGTGGAGGCGAGGGAAAACGATGGGGCAGCAATGCCGGTGGCGAGGTAGCTGTTCCGGAAGGGCACGGGGCGGAGCCGCAGGGGCGGCGGCAGCAAGGGTGAGGTTGAAAACAGCGAGGGCGACGGTGACGGCGAGGATGGGATGGCAATAGCAGATTGATGGCGAAGTGGACGACGGCGAGGAGAGGCAACGGAGAAAGTGAAGAGGACGACGACGAGGCAACAGACGGCGAAGGCGACAATGGCGAAGGAGCGCGACGACGCGAAGAAGGGTTTGGAGGATTTTTTTTCCAAAATCGTGTATGTATAAGTAATAAGAGGCCTTCTTTAACACAGACATTTGCATCGGTTAATCCTAATAACCGATTCAAATAGTTATTTGAATCGGTTATTAGGATTGACCGATTCAAATGCTTTTTTACCCTTTTGAATCAGTTAATATAATTCTAATAACCGATTCAAATAGTCTAACTTCGAAGGCCTCGAGCGGCTGAGCCCATGACGCACCAAGTTTAATTTTTTTTAAAAAAAATCTCTTTTAAAAATTACTTCAATTAGGTGATTAGCAGTTGATATTATCATGTTCATGAATCATGATTTTAGAGTATTTTTCATAATTTTAGCATACTCTAAATAATTTAGAGTAATAAGTTGCTCAATTGGAGTAAATAAATAATTTTCAATTTTATAATTTCATAAAATAGATTAGTTGATTTCATATTGATTTATGATTTTCACTTTGAAATTTATTTAGATTGTGTGTATAATTTATTTGATATAATATTTCTAATTTTTTGTGTGGATTTGATTATTTGAAGTTTTGACTTTGACATTTTGTTATTCCTTATTTTTATCACTATAATGCTCTCAAGAATGCTTGAAAAACTTCATGAATCCTTAGTTAGCTAATTTATTATTTTTATTATTATAATATTGATTTTTGTTAAATCCACTAATTTAGAAAATTTATTTTACTATGACACAATTACTCATTTTTCTTCATGTCATCCAATGCCCCTGATTTCTTAGAGATGTCCCTGCAAAATAGAGTATTTTTAGAATATCAATGGATTAAGCTATGTGTACCCCAGCATTTATACCCCAATTTGTACCCCGCAGGTTTGCACCAACATTTTGTGTTGGTGTAAAACTAATTTTTTTAATGTACCAACATTTGTGTCCATGTCGGTGTAAACCATCAAAATGTTTGTGCATAACTGTGGGGTACAAATGGTGTACATTTTTTGGTGTAAATGTAGCATGGTCCAATATCAATACACAGTATCAGTGAGTGTCACATTGGTATAGTGTAAAATCTTATTCTGAGATAAAACATGGAACATCTATTTTAGAGATAAATGTTTTAATTCTATTTTAGATAATTTCTTAAATAGGGGAAAAAGAGTAAATGACGGATTAAAAAATAGTAAGTGTGATGCGTGTGATTTAGAATTTTAGAGGGAGCATTTTACAAATTTTCAAAACTTGTTGAATACTCCGTACATTTAAGTGACGTGTTTGTTTGTCCACATGTCACCATTTAAATGGATAGGTATCCATGCCCTTTGAAATAATAAGGCATGAGAGAAAAACCCATCTTTGATTGCTCAGCTAAAATTGGTTGCTCTTAAAATAGAGAGATAAGTTGTTGGTCACTTGGTCCACAACTTAAATACTTCAGACCACATGCCACTTGTGTATTTGTATATATATAAACTCCCGCACTTCTTTCTTCATCGATCCTCTAAATAATAAGTCTATTTTAATTTCCTTTCAGTACTTTTTTCTTCATCTAATTAGCAACAAAAATCTGTGGAAGCTCACCGGACAAGAGAATGGAGGTCGGCGGCTGCGGCGGCAAAGAGAAAGGGGCAGCGGTGGCGAAGAGGCAAAATATAAGGTGGGCGGACTTCTCTTTGAGGCTTCTGGCCTTTGCCAACACCCTTGCGGCGGCGCTAGTTCTTGGGTTGGACAGGCAGAGTAAGGAGGTATCCATGCAGGTTTTCCCCACACTTCCGCCGGTGAGTATTCCGGTCACGGCCAAGTGGAAATACATGTCCGCCTTCGTGTAAGTATTGATTACTACATTTTAGCTGACTCCGTAAAATTCTTTTGTGGACCTTGTAACATGGAAGAAATCCAATTATAGACTCGTAAAAATATATGATAAGGTCCACATTTTATATGCATAAAATTGCACAACACCTCTTATATATACTCTATATATAGACTTTGTAAATGTCCGATCTGAGTTGACTACAAAAAGTAAAAATTAGATAAAATACTTTGATCAGGGACGAATGATATAATTTACCTAAATATGATTAAAACATAATGATTTTCTCAATATAGGACCATATGTTTTTATTTCTCAATGTAGGACCATTGGTCATTATCCATTAGTCATTATTCAAGTAAATATCACCGGACATTATTCCTTCCACTAGACATTATTAAATCCTATTTAGGGAATAAAAAAGTTTAAGTCCTAAATTGGGAAATCGAACATATGACCTCTCATATAATATAGTCATCATCATGACATTGGAGCACAAGGTTTTTGGTGGGTCGTCTCACATTATATACTTCTTCCGTCCCAAAAACTCATTCCTCTTTTTTTACTCGTCTCACACAATGTCACAATCCTTCTCATTTCTATTAAAAAAATCACTTTTATCCATACTAATTCTTAACCTATCTATCACATCATAGTTTTTTTACTAATAATCTACACATCACATCCTACTTTTACTTATGACATAAAGAATATTCTTGGAAAATCAATACAAAAATATCTTGTCCTTAAATCTTAAATGTCAAAATGAGAATATCTTTTTGGAAGGGAAGAAGTATATAACTGGACGGCAACGGGTAAAACCCAGCTCCCTTATTTATGGTTTTATGTTTGAGAGAGGGGTTTGTGAAACCAACGGCAAAAGTCAGTGGCATCTGGTTCGCCACATTCGATCCAGAGTCAGTCTATCTCTCAATTAACTGGCCATACTCTGTACGTTTATACAGCTCATAAATTAAATTATCAATAAACGTACTAAAAATTTATGTATTCTTTATTTTTTGTAGTCAATTAATTAATTTTAAACTTTGATATATATATATATATATATATATATATATATATATATATATATATATATATTAAAATTATATGGTATCTTATTTAGATAAAATATTTTATAAACAAATATAATAAAATTATTTTTTTATCAATATCTAAAATCAATTTTAATTAATTAGTTGTCAAGTTTTGTCGATATTGACCATAAAAATTAAAACGAGACAAACACTTAAGAAAAAATGCTGAAAAGTAAACGAAATGAGCTTTTAAAATTTGATGAAAAGCCATATAAATTTTTTAAACAAAAAATAAGAAGGAAAGTTAAAATTATTTTGAAACGTTCAGAAAATGATAGAATAAAGATTATTCAAGAGAGGGAGAGTATATACTCCCTCCGTCTCTAAAAACACGAGATATTTTTCTTTTTAAAGAGATTTAAGGAGTGTTTTTTGGTGTGGAGTTATCAAAAATGTCCTTATTAGATGTGATGGGTAAAAGTAGAATTTGATTGATAGAGTAATAGTGAGTAAATGTGAGGTAATAGGTAGGTTAAGAATTAGTAAGGGCAAAAGTAACATTTTAATAAAAATGAGAAGAATTTTTTGGAACGGATGAAAAAAGAAAGAAGATAGATTTTCAGAGACAGAGGGAGTATTAAAGCCTTTAACCTGCTATATATATCATAATTCCCATTTTTAATTTAAACAATGATATGGTTTCTAATGTAGATAAGAAGATGTAGCTCCCATCATTCTCACACGTAACGGATTCAAGAATATAATAAGAAATATATAATCATTTAAATATAAATATATGGCGTGGCGTGCTGTCCCCAAAAGGAAATAGTTTGGTCTAATACGGAGAACTCCATATCGTAAACAAGTTGGTATTAGCTCAACTGTCAACAATGCATTTTGGCTGCATATGCATTAATTAAGTTCAATTTGCATTGAAACCTACTCTCCTTTTATTATTTTGGTTGTTACGTTCATAAATGTGATATCGTGTCCCAGCTGTGCAACTCTCAACACATTTCATTTCTTTTTAAAGTGTCCCTCTTGCATGTGTGTCAATCGTTTGACTAAGCTGGTGCTAAATGTTATTGTTAAATATAATAGCCTTTTTCAAATGCAAACGTTAAACTTTAATTTTGCTGTCAAACAGATCAGAGTGTAATTCAATTATCATAAATGATGTGATTTTTATACGGTATAAATGATGTGATTATTATCCATGTAAATACAACAGTACTCCCTCTGTACCAAAAAAGGCTCTCGTATTTACTTGACACAAAGTTTAACGAAAGTGAGAATATGTAGTTGAAAGTGATGCAGAGGAGAGAATTATAGTGATGAGCCACTCAAAACTTTCAAAAAAAAGAAAAAAAGGCTTTTTTGTGACTTCCCAAATACGAAATAAGGAGTTTCTTTTTTTTGCGGGGGACGGAGGGAATGAATTAAATTTTATGTTTTTTTATAGGTAATTTATAAAGGAAAGTTAGATAAAAGTTTAAACATTGTTTTTGAACATTGTGATAGCTTTATTTTAGGAGTTTTAACTTATACGTACTCAATGAATACCATATCAATATCAATTTAATTTCTATGACAATCGTGTAAAAAATGTAGTGGAAGACTGGAATTAAGCTGTTATATATTTTAGTGTAATTGGAAAAACTACGACCAATGGTATCCTAATAAACATCAACGAAGTTTGGTGGTGCGGAGTGCACGCTTCGTTGAGTTTGTTACGATAAAAATCTCGTTACATCGGGGGTTCCAAGGGGGCAGCGCCCCCGAGCAGGGTTCAAGGGGCGGCAGCCCCTGCGGGGTCCAAGGGGCAGAGCCCCTGGCTGGGGTCGAGATGTGGAATTTTCTTTAAAAGATTCAATTGGAATTTCATATTTTGGGCAAAGCGCTATGTTAAAAAATTCAATTGGAATTTCATATTTGGAATTTTCTTTAAAAGAAAATTCCTAAGGATAGCGTTGTTTTCAAAGGGGGAGTTTTTCGCCGAAGAGTTGCGAGCCTTGGGTAAATGGCCGCGAATGGTGTCTTCTCCTTCTCACCCCAAGTCTATAAATTCCCGCGAGGCATGGTCGAATTTTGTTCGGATTTTTTCATAGCAATTCTCATATTTTCGTTCTTGATACTTTCGAGTTTTATCCGATTGAATTTTGGAGTGAACAACCAAAATATTCAATCTGAAAGTGTTTACACAACTCTCGATTCATCCAAGTTATCGTTAATTTCCCCAACATAAGCTAAGTAGGAAACGACAAAAAAACGATGATCGTGTTTAATTATTTGCCTTACGTGACTGGTCATGTACAATGTAAATGTTTGAAGGTACTTTGTGGTGGTGAATGGCATTGCATGTGGGTACGCGGCCGTCTCTCTGGCCATAATATGGGTAGATAATAATAGGGGACAAAATAGCGGTCGCGCCACCACGTCATCGGCCGCCTTGATGCTCCTCCTATTTGACCTACTAATGGTGGTGGTGCTCTTTTCCGGCGTCGGAGCCGCCACCGCCGTTGGCCTTTTGGGCTTCTATGGCAACTCCCATGTGCGGTGGAACAAGGTGTGCAACGTCTTCGGAATATTTTGCGCAAAAGTCGGCGGTGCTATAACGGTTTCGCTCCTCGGCGCCACCTTGTTTCTCTTGCTTGTTGTACTTGCTACCTTAAAGCTTCACAATAACAATAAGCATCCTTAGTTAGATTTGTCCGATGTATAATTTCCGAATATGTTTTACATTTCTGTTTCTTTTTTTTTTCTTTATTTCGAGATCGATCTCCTTTCGTTAGTTACAATTGATTGGGATAATATATATGCATGTATTGGGTAATAATGAAATAATCAAGTTTCATCACATACACGTACGTACGAGTTTACATTAGTACATACATATGCAACATGCAACAATAGTCTCAAGTGTTTTTTCTATATTCATAAATTGATCGAAACTTCCTCAGTTTCTTAAAACACTAGCTTGCTCTTTCATTTTTCTTGTTTTTCCTTAAATATTATATTCCACTTTCTATTAAAAACCCACTTTTACATATACTTTTTCTTATCCTATCTATCACATCATACTTTTTCGTTAATAATCTACTCATCATATCTTACTTTTACATATCGCATCAAGAGCAAAATTGGAAAGTTAAACATAAATACACACACACACACAGATATATATATATAGGGATTGACTTCAGTGAGATGACACTTTATGGTAAGATGACATGCTTCGGTGAGATGACGCAAAGCTCACCACATTACACTGCAAAGCTCATTAATGGCCAATGTAAAGCTCACCTGAAAATAAGGCAAAGCTCACTACTTTGAACACCAAAACTCACCTTTTTTTTATTTTGAAAATTAAAAAATTAATAAAAAATAAAATAGCAACACCGGTCAACCACCGGTCAGCGGCGGCGCGGCGGAGACCAGCGGCGGCGGTGGCGGAGACGGGCGGCGGCGGAGGTGGTCGCCGGCGGCCGGCAACTGGCGGAGGTCGGCGGCGGCGGCGGAGGTCGGCGACGGCGGCGTCGGAGGTCGGCGACGGCGGCGTCGGAGGTCGGCGACGGCTGGCGGAGGTCGGCGGCGGTGATGGTCAACGGTCAATGGTCAAAGTCTAGTCAGCACCAATTCCTTTGATTTTTTTTTCATAAAAAATTCAAAGTGTTGAAAAAATATGGTGAGCTTTGCATTACAGTTTAGTGAGCTTTGCATTGGCAAGTGGTGAGCTTTGTGTTGGCCAGTGGTGAGCTTTGCGTCATGTGACCGTAGCATGTCATCTTACCGTAAGGTGTCATCTGACTGAAGTCAATCCCATATATATATATATATATATATATATATATATATATATATATATATAGGGGTTGGTTCAGGTGAGAATGATGCTTGGTGAAAGAAATGAGAATGAACAGAAGACGTTGGATCTGTTGTCATTAGGGGCTAAGATGCATTTTCAAAGTTTTGCTATAATTAGGAAATTAATAAGAGGATTTTACTTAAATAGCACTAAAACATAATGATTTTCCCTAAATAGCACTACATGTGTTTATCTTCCTAATGTAGCTCTTTTAGTCATTATGCATTAGTCATTATTCAAGTAAATATCCGCCATCACTAGACATTATGGACATTATTAAGTGCTATTTAGGGAATAAAACAGTTTAAGTGCTATTTAGAGAAATGACTTAAGTTTTAGTGCTATTTAGTGCAAATATTTCAATTAATAACTAGAGTAAATCTAAAACTGGAGATTATATCTCGTGGGGACTGGGGGTAAATCTGGAACAAAAAAAAGCCTTAATACACGTAAAATCTCTATGGATGAATATTATCTTACCATTTACGCCATTTGCTTAAAATAAAACTCTTGAGTGCACATTAATTACTTCCACTTTTTTAGCCTTTATTGTTGTCATATTAATTAAGGGGTATTTCTTTTTGAAACGTGCCCTTCGTGATTCATGGGTAGTCATTTTAATTGTTTCTTACTCCCACGTCCCTTAGTTTTTGTCCACTTTTGATTTTTGGAACTGTTAATCGAAGCATTTTAACTCATCAAATTCTCTCAATGTGTAAACCTAAATATAGTCATGTGTGATCTTGTTTGATTTGTCTTAACATATACTCCCTCCGTTCCACAAAACACTTCCGTTTTAATTTTTTGCGCATCCCATAAAATACTTCTATCCCACCTAAAATGTCTAGAATACCTCTAAAACAACTTCTACCCGCAATAAACTACATAGTGGGGTATATTTTAGATATTTTAGGTGAGAGTAAAAGTGTTTAATGAGGTGCGCAAAAATTTAGGGCAGAAGAGTTTTAAGGAACGGAGGGAGTAGATTATTAATATATAATTTCTATAATTTTTTAATATACAAATTACAAGATAAAATGGATTAAAGAAGTGCATTGGATGGTGTGTAAAAATGAAAGTGGACAAAAACTGGGGGACGAAGGGAGTATTTTTAAATTTATGAACCACTTATTTCTATAAAAATCAATAATAAATATTTTTATCAGTTAAACACTTTAAAATAATTTATTTCTTTTTTACTTTATTTTAATGCATTTTTAAGGATGCAAAGGATGTATTTTATTTGCAATATGAAAGAAAAAAATGTACTCCCTCCGTCTCAGAGTATTTGTCCACTTTCATTTTTACACACCATCCAATGCACTTCTTTAATCCATTTTATCTTGTAATTTGTATATTAAAAAATTATAGAAATTATATATTAATAATCTATATGTTAAGACAAATCAAACAAGATCACACATGACTATATTTAGGCTTACACATTGAAAGAATTTGATGAGTCAAAGTGTTTAGATGATCAGTTCCAAAAGTCAAAAGTGGACAAAAACTGGGGGACGGAGGGAGTATGATTTATAAATGTTCTCTTTCTTCTAAAAACTACTCCGTATTCAATTACCCTTTTTTACTTCTCATCACTTATTTAATATTTTTTAATAAATACTCTCTCCGTTTCTTAAAACCTTTCCTCTTTCATTTTTTTTGTTTTTCTTAAAACACTTGCCCTTTCTATTAAAAAACC